TTTTTTTTTTTTTTTTTTTTTTTTTTTTTTAGATTTTATTTATTTGAGAAAGAAATAGCATGAGCAGGGGGAGAGAGAGAAGCAGACTCCCTGCTAAGCAGGCAGCCCTGTGCGGGGCTGGATCCCAGTACCCTGGGATCATGACCTGAGTCGAAGGCAGATGCTTAACCGAGAGCCACCTAGGCGCCCCTAAAATCCAGAGTCTTGCCAAGGGCTCTGGGGAGAAGGCAGAGGGTGTGCAGTGGGGTTGTGGGCCCATGCAGTCTCTCTGCTTCCGGAGTGGGTATTGGACACTCTGCTCTGGTGAGTTCCTTTGTGCCTGGGGCTTGGCCAGGACCTCCCCAGGAGGGCCAGTGGCCACAGGGTGCAGCCCTGAGGCTCTCACTGCCCAGCCGACCCTTGTGTCACCCACACTGCTCACCCACCTCCAAGAATGTGACTCAGGAGCTCAGGAAGGCATGTGTGAGCGCTGTTGGCAGTGGGCTTTGCTGACCCTGAGACAGGCATGGCTCAGGGCAGGTGGCATTCCAGATATATAGGAACCCGCTGGCAGAGTGGGCTTTGACCTTAGGGCTCTACTCACGTCCAAGGGGAAGACGTGGGGCAGGGCAAGGTGGATCCACCCTATATGTGTGTGTCCCACCCTTAGACCTGAACAAGGCCTGTGGGAATGCCATGGACGCCCACGAAGCCGCCCAGATGCACCAGAACTTCTCCCAGCAACTGCTCCAGGACCACATTGAAGCCTGCAGTCTCCCTGAACACAACCTCATCACGGTATAGGACCTGGGTTTGGGGAGGTAAAATCGGGGTACTGGGTGACTCCTCAAAGCCTTGCAGCCTCCAGGGGGCACATTCCCTGAGAAGAGAAGTACACGCTTGGCAGTCATCTCCTTGCGTGTCTCCAGCAATCCCTAGCTCAGCTTAGACTCAGGGACCCCCTCGGATGGGGGAGGCGGCATCAGTCCCCAAATGGGTGATACACGGTGTTTCCTGGGGTCCCGCTGACTCAGGTGTGGAGGACAGAGGGCCCTGACTGGGCATTCAGCCCAAAGAGAGCAGCAGTCCAGAGCAGACACGCAGCCCGGCACAGCTCTGCTCCTTCCTAGAAAAGACCTCACCTGTGTGTTCTCTGCCCTCTGCAGTGGACGGATGGCCCACCCCCCGTGCAGTTCCAAGCTCAGAATGGACCCAATACGAGCCTGGCCAGCCTCCTGTGAGGCTCCTGGAGGGAGCTGCCCAGCTTCTCAGGGCCTCTGTGGGGCCCGGTGTGTCCCCTACTTCCATCCAGACGGCACTTGAGCTTTCCTTGGAGGTGTGCTGGAGTGGGTGTCCCCAGGCCTCTTTTCTGACTGTCTTCAGAGCTTCCAGGTCCCCAGGCAGTGTGCAGGGCTGATTCCGCCCTCCCAGGAAGGGCTGGTCAGCCACTCCCACCATGTAACAAGACCCCAGTGCTGAGGCTTGCAGGTGGGATGTTGGAGCCAACTTTCCAGAGCCATCCTTTAAAGTGGACTTGAATTGCCAGTTCTGCTTCCACGTCTGAGTCACGCCTTCAAGGGAGCGTGTCTGGGCGGGGAGTGGGGTGCCAGTTGCCAGGGTGGGTGGTACCGCTGGTGCGTTGCCACGTGACTTCCGTCGTCTGGGCCTCCATGCCTGGCTGGAGTGTTTCCTCTGCTCATAGCAGCTTCCAGAGCCCAGAGGCAAAATGCCAGTTTCTGCCCCAGAATGGGAGGGAAGAAGTGATGGCGCATGTCAGGGACAAAAATGCACATCCTACCATAACACTTTCCCAGCTTGCCTTTCTGTCCAGTGTCCCCCCCCATCTGACAGCCAGGGCCTCTGGTCCGAAATCCTGGGGAATCCAGGAACTCGGCTTCCAAAACATCTGCACCTTGACTGGAGTCCGTGTCCAGCCATGGAGGTGCACGTTCTTGTAGACACGGGTGTGTGCGTGTGTGTGTGGTGATTCACGGAGCTGGGGCGGGGGGCTGAGACTCCTGTTGGCGCCAGCTGCCTTCCCCCTTCAGCATCCATAATGCTGGGCAGGAAGCAGAGGAAAAGGGAGGGGACCCTCCTCAGCCCAACTCAGGGTGCCTGAACGAAGAAGGGGCTTGCTTCCTAGCAGCTCTGTGGCCTCCTCAGCAGAGGACATTCGCAGATACCTTGTCCCTCACGCTGCTCTCAGGAGGAAGGATGAGGAGACCTACCCGCCTTGGGTCTTGGGACAGCGTTGAAAGCTCTCCCTGAGCTGGACCCCAAGAGGCTCTGCCAGGCCCAGACAACCATGCTTGGTTCTATGTGCTCCTCTTGGATAGCTGAGGGAGTGCCCCCGTGGTGATGGGGGCATTGGGGGCAGTGGAGGTCACCACCTCCTCCAGCTTCCAGTGCCTGGGAGCATCCCCCCACAGAGGAGTGGTGAGTGGTCTTGCTAGTCAGGTGGCTTGTTAGTTTGCATCTTGTTATCCTTACACTGTGAGGGCTGCTTTTCAAAGCCTCAGTGTCTGACAGAAGGAACACTGGGATCACTCAGGTCAGCTGCTCAGGCCCTGAGGCCTGAGTGTGCCTTAGCCACAAGCAGGGCTGTCAGCAGACCTCCCTGCGCAGGGCCAGTGCCCTTCCCAGGCCAGCATCAGGCCACTGGGGGCCAGCGACAGGCATGCAAAGTGAGCTGCTGATTGGAGGCATGGGCTGGCCAGGGCTTGTCATAAGAGGACCCACCATCTGTGTGGCATCCTGGGTCACCCAGGAGAGCCTAGCACTGTCCCGTGCTGCTCAGGGCCACCTTCTTGGCTGACCCCACCCTCCCCGGGGCCTGTGAGGCCTACAGAGGAGGGTGTGACATGTGGCCACGAGATGCCCTGTCCTGTCTTCCTCCTCCGCTCAAGGGTATCCCCTAGGCCCTCCCCTCCACCCGCGGGACAGAGCCCCCCTCCCCTTGCCACAAGCTGCCCCTACTGGCCTAGACCCCGCACCGCCTGACCTCTCCAGACCCTCATTACTTCGATCACGCTGTGCATCATGTTTGTCTCTGCATATTTATTTAAGCCTTTCTTTGCTTCTAGGGCATTTTTTATGTAGAGCAGTTGAAATAAGAACCTCAAAACTTAACATCTGTCCCGATGTTAAAGTGCTTTTATCTATGTTCATGTAAAGTTAAGGATAAGTTTTTATGTTTACAGCTAAAAATTCAGTACTCGATATTTAATATTCACTCTAGCTTTATGGAAGCCAAACCGGATGTACATGCATTTTTGCATGTGCAAGCTTTGAACCTCCCCTTCCCCGTAGCATCTTCTGGTTACATAAAGCTGTCGTAAGTACCTTCCTGCAAGTCCAAATCGAGTGCCTCACAGTTTCTCACTCAGTCATCAGAATTTAAGACAGGCAGCAAGTGAGCCCCCAGGGAGACCTTACACAGTGTCATAACTAAGTGGTTAGGAAGACCAGATTAAAAACTCCAAGCCTTTCAGTGTACAGCAATGCAGGGGAGCAGCAGAAAGATCCCTGTTGGCAGGTAAATTACTGAAAGCTATTCTGACTCTCGTATGTTCCTCCCACCTCCTCTTGGGGTCCTCAGGGCCTGTAGGTTTGGGGGACTGGGCCGGGAGGCCCCAGGTTCGCTGGCACGCACGTGCACATCGCTGCCTCCCCCGTGCTGGGTGTTTGCAGTCATCCACGGGTGAAGCGAGGGTCCTCTCCCTGGGGTAAGCACTCCCCACCCTATTATCGGGAACACTGGCAAGGAAATCAGAAAAGGGCTGCCTGGTGCAGTGGGTAAATTTGTTGATTGCATTGTTTCTGTTTCGTTAAGGGTTTTTAATAAGTATGTTTGGCATATTGTCTTTTAATGGGTTTGTAATATCTTATGGTTTTAGCAGCCTGTAACTTCAGCTGGTGCTTTTAATCAGGAAAAAAATTTTGTAAATACAAAACATTGTTTAAAAGACATAACCATAGAACATAGATTCCCGTTTGTGGATTTCTTTTCCTATATATTCAAAGTAAAATAATTTGTAGGAGCCATCACTCGCTTTGTCTTTGTCGCGTTGTCCCTTGTGTGCACCACTCCAGAGACCGCTCTTGCCCTCTTCCCGGGGCAGTGGGGGGCCGCTTGGTGAGTGGGCATCAGGGGGTTCTGCAGACCAACAGAGCCCAGCCCCCAGACTGGAGGACCTGGTGGAAACCTGAGTCCTCTCCTCTACTGATGATGTTCCTCCAGAACAGCCTCGCCTGGAGGAGAGTGGACCCCTAGGACCTCAAACATTTGGCCCACAGCTGCCTGTTGCTGGCCCTTACCCCAGACACGCTTGCTCACCTAGTGTCCTATTTCCTGTGTTCCTAGAAAACACATCAGCCAGCCTCCATGTGCGTAGGGTGGTTTGGTTTTTGTGGGCTTTTTTTTTTTTTTTTAATTTTTATTTTCTTTTTGACGTGAAAGTCACATAAAATTAACCATTTAATGCGTACAGTTCAATGGCACTAAATACCTCCACCGTGTACAACCAACACGTGTCTAGTTTCAGCATATTTTCATCAGCTCAAAAGGAAACCCTGTCCCCATTAACTGTCAGTTCCACTCCCCTTCTCTCCAACCCCTGGCAGCCTCTAATCTGCTCTCTGGCTCTGATTTGCCAGTTCTGGACATGTCATAAATGGGATCATACGCGTGGCCTTTCAGGTCTGGCTTCTCTCACTCGACATGACTTGAAGGTTCACCGACCTAGCATGAATCAGAATTTCATTCCCGAAAGCTGAATAATACTACACTGTGTAGACGGACCAGCTTGCTTACGGATTCATCCACTGGTGGGCGTTTGGGTTGCTGCTTCCTTTTAACTGTTGTGAGTAGTGCTGCTGTTGGGAATGTACCCCTACACATTTTTTAAACGTGTTTTCAATTCTCTTGGGTTGTGCCTTGTTTTTAACGTGCAGAGATGGTGCCTGGCTGCCACCCACCCTTTGTCAAGGCCCTTGTGTTGCTCTCATCACTGTGCCCCTCACGACACCAACGTGCTCTCAACTGCTGACTAATAGGGGCGTGTCTGAGCTCTCCTTTGGGCCATGCTCCTGAGGCAGAACCACTGGCCACTGGGTGTATCAGGGATTCCACAGGCCCTGCCAGGAAGAACTTCCCCTAACAGTGATCCCACCCCTGCCCTATACCCAACAACCCAGCCATAAATGGCTTCGTCATGGGGTGGACTGCCTGCCCTATTGGTATTGGTATGGACATCGTTCTTCCCACCTTAAGTTTCACAGCCTTTCTGCAAGAATCACATCCTGAGCCTACCCAACCAGAGCACAGCCACAAATCCACCATGTGACAAGCCACTCACCAGCAGGCATGTGGCCACCAGCTGGGATCACGTGTGGCTAGTAAGCCAGTCCGGAGATGGCCACTGTTTGACAGGAAGTAGGCTCATTTGGGTGCTGCAGAACAATGCCCTGGTTGAGTAAATCAGCAGTTCCAGAAAACTTTCCACGAATTGCCAAATCTTAATGAACAAAGAGTGGGTGTTGGAGTCCTAGGTTTTGGGGAATGTCTCGGGTAAAGCCGAGCAGATTCCTTTCAGCAGGACTGGTCAGCACAAATGGACGCAGTATGGAGAAGCTCTGCGGGTGTGCAGGACACACTCAGGAAGTGGACGACGAACACGGGAAGTAGTCACAGGATGGAGGAGGACAGGAGTGGGCCTTGTAGACGCCAGTGGGTGGCCAGGGCAGCTGGCCCAAGCACTGAGTAGCTGTCCTTCACACACACACCCCCCCCATCCTCAGAAATCCTGTCACTCCACCCATTTCTGGCTATCTCCACTGCCCCTCCCCAAGTCCTGGCCACATCTCCCACCTGGATGTTGTCCAACCTCCTCCCTGAATGGTCCCAGAACACTCTGTGTGCTTGCTCCCACGTCTCTGCCTGCCAGGGGCCCTCTCCCCGTGGCTCCTCCACTCAGAAGACCAGCATCAGCCAGGAATGTCCTGGCTCAGGCCTGGCACATGCTGGCACTTCCAGGGGACAGCTCAGGAGGAAGAACACAGGCAGTTCTGGCAGACGCCTCCGTGGACACCTGCCTATGTTGTCTGCAGGTGGCAGCACACTCGGTCGATGAGCCTGCCCCCCCCCACCCCGGAAATGCTAACAGGACCCTACTGTACTGCAAGGGAGTGTGAACTTCACAGCCCCAGGCCAATGGGCACTGGGGGGTCCTGAAAATGATCACAGTGTGTATTGGCTTCGTTTGGCCTAGCCGAGCCCGTTAGACTGACATTTTCCCACAAAGAAGGCTACTCAGGGAGAGGCAGGCAGTCTTGCCTCTGTGGTCCTGTCTGTCCAGCACCTGGCATGGCTTCCTTGATTTGAACCACACTGAGACAACCCCAGTCAGTTCAGACGTGCCAACTGGACTCAAGAGGCTGAGGGGCTTACTGGGGTCAGAGGAGGGTTGGGTGTCTCCTGAGGTCAAGGAACAGAGGTGGGGGGCGGTGGAGAGGGAGCTGGACTCTGAGGGCCACAGGGACTCCAC